TAATATGTGATCATAAATTGAAGAGGAATATGAACTTCTTCCACTGGTGCTGTCCATTATCTCTGCTGTTCTGTTACATTGACATATTATGACTGTGAATTTAGTCTTTTTCCTACTATTCTAAGGTTTGTTAAGCATGCTGGGAAGTTAGTTTTGGTCTTTGTTTTGTGGAGTGCCTTGGACTGTTTATGGAAAACAAACATGAAACAGTTCCCTCCTGTGATATGGTCCTACATTTACTCACACCTAAAAGTGAAGCTTCATACACACCATACAGATTTGCAGGACTGGTTCTGAATTGCCTTTGAAAATGATGCACTGTACAATCTACAGGAACTCATAAAATTACCTTGTACATATTGCCACTTTCTCTTGCAAAAATATTCTTTTTCATTTGTTTTATTTCCTTTATGATATGGATTTTTTCAAGTTCCAGTAAAATCTTGATTGGCTATGTCTTCCTCAGTGTAGACAACTGAATGTTTTAGCATCCTAAAACAGATTTATGTGAGTCATGGCTGTCAAAAACATTAGTACACTGGTGAAAATTTGTTAATAGATCATTACTCCTACAGAATCAGTGCTGAGAGCAGGAACCATGGCATCCTCCTTACTTTTTCCCCTCCCGTTGAAAGAGGCCATGAGTCTATAACCTGCTGGGATGATAAAAGTGGTCTGATCATGGAGTCAGGATGATTGTGGTCGTTGAAAGGAACAAGGTTAAAACAAATATCAAGGACTGCTGAGAACTTTCTAAACTGATAGAGTCAATTTTATTCCCCAGCTCTTGGGCGTACACCACACTCAAGTTTTGGCTATATGATGTAGTATAGAAGGCACTGAGTGACTGGCAGTGCATGAATTCAGCCTCTGACAGTGTATACAGCACTGACTCTGAGGTATTATATCTTGTCCCTACGCACTGTCTTGAGTTGACTGCCATGCCTGTGCTCTAGCTGAGCTTTTCGCAATATCAGCACAGTGACTTTGCATTGTCCACCATATATTGTGTAGACATAATCTATTTCTTGTAGCATCAGGTTTAAAATGAATTTATGTCAGACTACTGGCTTTCTTTTACATGGAGTTTTGCCTGAGTCGTTCAGTGTTCATCATTTATTCTTGCCCCAGAAAGCTTCCTTATTGAAATGCAAAACCTGTTTGAGGCAGATTCCATTACCTGTCGGTGTTAAACAGCACCTTACCCAAGTTTCATAAAATGCTTCATGCCACGCGGATGTAGGGCAACAGACATCCTCAGATCTGCTTGTGAACATCACAGCCAAATCCCTGACATATGTTGTGTGAATAAGGTCCCATGGAAGTTGCTGGACCGAGGAGCCCCCTCTGAACTGGGGCTTCACACAGCTCCATGGACAGGGACCAAGTGTCAAGTCTGAATCCGTTACTCTCAAAATAACCTTAAATTTAAGTAGGGCTGGTAGAACTGATCAGTCTGTCTGGGTTTTTTATTTGCTGTAAGTAGTTTCCTCAAATTTCTGTGCAAGTGTCTTCTTCTTACAAGGTCTTTACCATGCATTAATACTCAAATTACTGGGGTAAATCCCTCAAAATACTGTTGATCTTCTATCATCCTTGATTTTTTCCAGTTAATCTAGGTAATGATAAGGGATCCTTTATAACTGAATAAGCTATTGCCTTTTTTAAAAAGATGTGTTAAACTCTTGTTCTTACCCTGGTGACTTTCACTGTGTTTTAAAACACAGAATTAGAATATATAATGTTCTGTCCTAGATCTGAATCCACAAAGCAGAGCTTCCTAAGCTGTTTTTCTTCACAACTGCCACAGAAAAACACCTTTGAAAATGCTTTTAGTGCTAAAAGAGCAAGTTCACATTTCATGTGGGGAAGGAACTTTTCTTCCTACTAATGTACATTAAGTAAGAAAGATTTCAGCACCTGCTTTGTTATAGTCATTGCACAGTTGTAATATTTTGAGTTTTGCTATGCTCTGACTTGAAAAATTTAAAACACATAAAAGAACCCAGACACACAGGGCCAATTAATTCCTAGTGTAGCCATATGCACTGAAAGGAGCTACCACAGGCATAAAGTTAGCTCCATGGGGATTTTGTATGTAAGAAAGCTGCAGGGATTTGAAAGCATTTTTTTTCCCCTTTCATTTGGGTTTTCCCTGCAAACATTGACAGAATATGTAGACCTAACTGCAAAATACAGTATCCTGGTTTTATTTCCTGTGTTATGTCAAGCTCAATACTGCCTACAGCCAAAGCTCAGCTTATAAGTCAGAGTATGGATACTGATCAAGACAGCCTCTAAAAGGAAAGATTCTGTCTGTTAAAACAGAGAAGTAAATAAAACTGTATAGCTTATAGGTATAGATATCCAGATAAGGGTATAGAGCAGGCTGGTATATATCAGAAAAAAGGTAGGCTTTTTACCTCCTGAAACTCAAAGAGCACAGGTTAAACAGTATGTATATTAAATGAGTATTTAAAAATTAAATTATTTTTGTTTAATTTTTGTGGTTATCTGACCAAATCATCCCTTCATTCAGTAAGACTTTTCTTTTTTTCAAGTTTGAGTTTCAACTATAGTGTTAAACTCTTTGGCTGATTACTTCTGGGTGAATTTTTTTTGTCATTGTTTTGCTTCTTGAAGTGCAGTGGTTGATTTGTTGTGCATTAGAGATGGAGGCTGGGGCATGGAAAGGAGACAGTGTGGGAATATAACAGCCAGTGGTTAAAGCCATGGTTTCATTAGAAACTACTCTGTCTGAGTAAACAGTGGAAAAAAATTCCACATAAATTCTCATCCAAAAAACCTCCCTGAGATTATTATCTAGAAAAAGAAAAATTGTGAATGAAGCTAAAAGAATATTCGGTATATGTGTAACTGGATCAAAGAAAATTTACTTGGTGTTGCGTTACATCTTCCTTTTCCCAAACAGTGAAATGTGAAGATAGTCAGTATATGTAAAAAGCAAATAATCAATGGCTGATTTCTGTTTGACTGGGCTTTCTAATTTATTTTTGGAGATGGTGTTCACTTAATTATTAACAATTTTGTAAATACATGAAAAATTCTTTTACTTGTCTGTTTATTAATATGCTTAAATTCCATATAGAGAGTGAAATCTGCATAAGAAACTTCCAGAAACCTTTATGTCTAACTGGTTACTATTCTGTGTTAACTACATTTTTAAATGCAGTTAGGGGACTGATAGTAGTCTCTGGACCTGTCCTCTTACAAATATAATGTTTGTTTTTTTTTTTCTTCTGGGAAACATGGAATGGAGGAAAAGAAAGTTTCCTAAGGCTGTAAAAAGGCCTAACTCTCTTCTAATTTATACTGGCCTAAATTCCTGGTGTGAGTCTATTCTCCCCATTGCAATTGCAAATGTTTCTGAGTTTTCCTGGTATATGTGAGAAAGATCTTTTACGAAATCTGATCTTTCATAGGCATCTTGTCCTCTCTCAATGGGTCTAAATCTGTAAAATATCCATTGTTATTCTAAAGGTGTGTTTATTAATTTCTTATAGGGAGAACTGTGGTAAAACTATGCTGAAATTTCTTTTGCCCCAAGAAGAAAAATATCAGAAGCCCGACTATTTCAGAGAAGTAGCAGAGAAATAGCCAGATTCCCACAAAAAAAACAGCAGTAAAATTCTGTCTTTCTCCACTTTCCCATTGTACACACAGTAAGGTGTTGAAACACTGAAGTTTGATCATCTAACATCCTTAATAGAGGCTAGATTACATTACCAAGTGAGAGAAAGTCTTGAGACCACACTGTAATGAACAAAGGGATTAAAGTATTTGAACAGCAGATACCTGATCTGTCTCTGACTCCCTATATTCCTGTACTGGGGCTGCTATCCCAAATAGTAGGGAATGCACCAGATCAGCTCCACTAACCAGGGAGCAGATATAAGATTCATTTGGAGAAGGCGTGTGCTAATGTAGTTTAATGTATTATTTATATTGTCCCAGTTGTTTACTCTCTGGTTTCCATTCGTCTCCTTTTATGACACATCTGCCTGCACCTTCACGCAGTTCTCACAGGATGACAGCTCTTCGTTAAGCTTCATTTGGTGCAAAAGTTACAGACTTCAGCTGCCTACCAGAGAGAGGGTGGGAGTGCAGTTGCCACAGATTGCTTCATGATTGAATTCATTGCAGGGACAAGGCTGATGGTGCCAGCATTGTTTGATTTGTATATCACATTCTGAATTTTGTGAGGCTATAGTTGTCTTTCCCGTATCATAGGTGGATAAAGAAGGCAAAATTAAGGTTGTCTGACTATTGTTGAACTCTCTGTACATCTTCATTTTGTACTTCAAGGTGTTGAGGTCGATGCAGACAAGTACACAGGGAATGTTCATATCCATTGACAGTGATATTTTGCTACTGACTCTTTTGGGCTTAGCATTTCAACCATGATGTTTAGATATATGAATTTTCAGTGAGAATCAAGAAAGGTCTATTTGTTTGCTTTACAGAACATCCATGTATTTTTAGTCTCACAAAGAAATTTGACCTGAAGTTAACTGAGGCTCTTTTGTATGGGATTGCAAATTGTCATCTAATAGAACAAAAGATTCAGCCTTTGGTAAATTGTTGCACTGCTGCATTTCCTTTTTAGGAAGGAAATATATAGCAGTAATCCTGTATGCCAGTAATGTGGTATATACCAGTAACATGGTCTATCCCAGTAATATACCAGTAATGTCCTGTATATCAATAATATATGTATATATGTGTGTGTACACATACACATGAAGACATAAGCATAGTACAGGCTTTTGGTTCAATGTTTTTTCATTTATTTATGTGCATATGTACATGAAATGAATGAAAGATAAAAGGAATTAATGCAAGTGTAAACATAGTAATTTAAATGCTAGAGCTATGTTTTTTCCTTTCTCATTTAAAAAAAAAAAAAGGGTATCAAAGGAATCTAGAATCAGAATTGTGTCTGTCAGACGGTTAGCAATAACCTTGTACTGTTATTTCAGATAAACCTGCAGAAGAAGATGCGAGTCACTGGAGTTATAACTCAAGGTGCCAAGAGAATTGGAAGTCCAGAATATGTAAAATCCTACAAAATTGCATACAGTAATGATGGGAAGTCATGGACAATGTACAAAGTAAAAGGCACAAATGAAGATATGGTAAGATTAAGTCATCTGTATATGAATACATCTTATGGTTTAGCTGCCTTCAGAAGTATGAGGCATCTTTAGTAGATAAGCATAATTGCCTGACAGTGTGATATAGGTTGCCTTGTTCTTATTTTTCTCTGAAAAAAAAATTCAAAAATTTGCACTTTCTGTCTGCTAAGAATTTCTTATACTTTAATTGATAGTTGTATAAATAGTATGTCCCAAGGCTAGAATAATCCTGTTTATTACACTTAACTGATTTTCAGTTTAATTAGTTTACCAGTAATTACTCATTACTCTTTTGAATTTAGTTTTATTACATTGGCAGATTAGTGTTAACCCTTAAAAGCATAGAACCCATTCATCAATGCTAATCTCTGTACTGCACAAACAGTGTCATCAAGTGGGAAGTATGTGCTTACAGTATATAGTTACCACTTTTTTTTATAGAGTTGTACATACAAAGTAGCAAAAATCCCTTTACTTTTGTAAGTTAATATAGAACTAAAGCACTTTGCAGCATTAGACATAGTTTCTCTATTCGGAAATTAAAATGCTATGTGAAGAGGTATATAATGAGGAAAGAAAACAAAGTACAAGGATATCTGGTTAGAGTGAGGAGTGAATAGAAGAATGCTTATAGATTTAATTCAGCTCCCCCTACGATCAATGGGAGGGTTACAGTGCACTTCAGTGGGAGCTGGATCAGGTTCTTGAAGTAGAAGGAGAAAAATAAATGTCCATCAGCATAAATAATTTCAGGCTAAATTGAATTGGGAATATTTAATACACTAATTAGAAAAGAAGATACAATTTAGTTGCATTAGTAGCTTCAGTTTCTAGGAGTGACACGATATAGGTCCTGATCCTGCACAGGTGGCAAACCCATGCCAATACAAGCCAATGGCAATATGTTTTCCTTAAAAACTTTATTTTGGGCACTAGAAATGATAAAACAGCCTCTATTTGGGAAAAAAAAAATGTAGAGAAACATGCAGGAAAGGTCAAAAGAACAATGCAGATATTTTTGAGACATGGAAATCAACTGAACCTCCAGTAATCCTCCTGGCACATTTTTATGAATATGTCATTTTATCACAGGTATTTCGTGGAAATGTGGACAACAACACCCCATATGCTAACTCCTTCACCCCTCCAATTAAGTCGCAGTATCTACGGCTGTATCCTCAGGTGTGCAGAAGACACTGCACATTGAGAATGGAACTTCTTGGCTGTGAACTGTCAGGTGGGTTTTCTGCATTCGCTGCATCTCAGAAGTCAATCTTCAAGCAGCACATTTTTGTGCCCAAGGTCTAAACTGCGTGCAGTTCATTCCTGGTGAAATGCAGCTGGCAGGGCTGAGTTTATCCAGTTACTTACCTCTTCTTATGTAAATTATGTAAGCAGCTACACTTACCTAAATGATGTAAGTGACAATAGTTGCTTGCAGTAGGGCAGTAATAGTAGTAGGGTAGTGTGGTAGCAACCTAATAACGTTTTGTAAATCTTTGTGTGCACGTTGGCCTCCAATTATGTGTGACCTAGAAAAGGTCATTTATAGCAGTTTTAATAACTAATAACAGCTATCAGGACCTGTTATGATACATAATAAGCAGACCACGAGACAGAGTCTCTATCTCAGAGTTACACTCAGCACAGCCTAAACTAAGCACTGAAAACGGTTTCTGAGAGCCGAAGCTGTTTGTGCAGTGCTGTACAGCAGAGTCACGGCAGAAGCACGCATCAAAGCTCATTTGAGTAATTTCTCCTGGCTGCTGTGTGACCATGCCGATGTGCTGTGTGACATCCTCAGAGGAACACAAGTGCTTCAGCTGCCATCAAGGACCACTCAAAGTGCAGTAAGACATATTTTGCTGGACTGCTTTAGTCAAGAGTTCAGTTTAGATTTGTTTTGTGCGATTCTAGCAGAAGCAGGGATTGCATCTTGTAGCAAAAAGTAAAAAAAGAAGTGGAGCCAATATAAACCCTCTTAAGGTTTGTAGTAGCAGAAGCTATAGCTCATAAATGTAAAGCCTGACCTCTAGCCACTTTCTGCAAGAACCATGTTCCCTTACAAATTCAGTAAAGCATGTAAATTTTTTATCTTTTTCAAGAGATCAACCTTTTACTGGTGGGAGCGCTCCACTGAATTCATTTAAGAATGGTTTTTATGTGGCTGCCTGCTTACTGTACAAACAACAGTCATCCAGTTCACGAATGATATATCAAAACAGCTGGAGTTAAATAATTCTCAGTCCTCTAGTGGCAGCAAAACCAGATTCAGAAATGAAAAGTTAATGCATTAATCTCACTATAGCCCTTTTCCAATATAGATAGGTTTGAGAGTAAATAGAAAATTCTGTCTAGCTGCTTTAGTCTATTAGATTTTTTTTTTTAATGTCTTCCATTTCTGGAACCACAATTTAGAGTAAGTCCTTGCCAGAATGACCAGGAATTGTTTCGCTCAAAGAACTGTGAGAGCTACTGAAGTAAATTCATTTTAGTGGTCTCCTAACAGTTTCAAGGTCATCATTTCTTAGAACTGCAGGCAGCCAAGGCTCAGCAGAACAATTTTAATCTTACTGAAAGAAGAGTATAATTATACATAATGACAGACTAATTCACTCTCATTCCAGGTGGTCTGTCTTAGGCAGAAAACCACTTTGAGAGGTCTGGTTTCTCTAACAAGTCCTGGTGCTAGAGAAGAGAGTCACTACTAAAGGGCAGGAGACTGTCTCACAGCACCAGATCATCATAAAAACTAATTCTTTCTTAGGACAACCTTCAGCAAAATGTTCAAAGTAATCTTCTCTAGGCTCATAAATAGCTTTACTTACCAGGACCATGGTCAGATCTTATTGAAAACCATGATCAATGCTTGTGGAGTCGGCCATCAATAAATTAGGCATTAATTTTTATGGCCTTGTGTTCCTGCCTTACTTGTGTTTTGCACATCTCTGTGTTGTAAATTCCCTTCCCTTCATCAAGTATTGATGTGGGGGGAGAAACAGATCACAGCTACTGTTTATTAGAATGTAATTCATTAAGCTGTTGTTAATAGTAGCATCAAGATGTTGTTTTTAAAGACAGATAACTTCGCACAACACAGTCACTTACTCATGCAATTCACTCACACACTCAAACATCTGCATATAGCAGGCTCTGCCTTCTTGCATGCAGTCCATGTCAACCATTGTTGATGCTCATGTACGTTGGTGGCTGTGTACTAATTCAGCAAATTCTTGGTGTTCTGAGTTTGTCGGTTCTTGCAGAGGGATGCTGGTCCCCAGAACTTAACCATCCTTGTGAGACTTATAGCATCTTCTGAGCATGTAATTTTCCTCTTTTTGACATGTTGTTCTCTGGTAGCTATTTCTCTATCCTAACAGTACTTACAGGTACCATTCACACAAACTCACACACAAGGGGATTTTGTAACATCTGCATTTAATACTAGATTCCCCTTCCCTTGTTTGTCTTCAGCACTATCTAATCTGGAAAGGAATCTTATGTACATTAATAGGAAGAATTTTTTTTAAAGTCTCTTTCAGAGAAGAAAAATACCACAGTATTAATCAAAACAAAATCACCTTTGCCCTCAAATAATAGACCTATGCTGCTTTTGCCAGTACTGCGTGAATCCTGGCCCAAGAAAAGATGCATGTAGACCTTTGCATGCAGATCCATTTGTGGTTTTGCCTCCACTGCATTAGATATTTAATATTTCCTCTGAGGGTTTGAGCTTTCTTGAAAGAAGAGGTAGACGAGGGGCATGGTACAGGATGCAGACTGAAGAATAAAATACTGTGCCCTCAAAATTGTCAACAGAGAATAACCTTTGTGTGGATTCTTTGAATTTTCAGGTGCTAATCCACACTCATTATTTCACTGCTCCTGTTTCTCTGGGCTAGACCAAAGAAGAAGCAACTGTAAACTTACACCTAGATAGGTTTAAACATTCAGAGTTATCAGATATCATTTATCACAGATAGTGATATCCAAAGCATCTCAGACATTTTGACCTAAGGTACTCCACTGAGCATAGCTGTAAGTATGTCTACATCAGCTCTCACTAACTTTAACAGATGGTAAAAATGGGAAGGGAGATTGAATCCTTTCGCAGGGACATTGCAAAGCAAATTTAAAGAATATACAGTGTAGTGAAGACGAGATGTCCCAGGGAGTCATTAGCATTATTATAAATACACTTCTATGAGGGAAGACTATCTACAGACACAGTTTTGTACTAGTTTGATGATTCTGTCCTTTGCATTCTAGGTTACAGCTCGCCTACAAAAATAACGAGTCATTATCTTCTGTCACGGCAACAGGGTGCCATAGGAGCAGGGAAGCGGCTGGGTCTGCTGTTGCTCTCTGTGACACAGCACTAAGACATTGTTCTGCCACCCATGTGCATCATGTTCATCTCTTCTCGTTCTCACTGTTCTTCTCACTTTCTCCTGTTACCTTTAACAACTGTCTTCCTCCCTTTGGGGCAGTGAAGAAGGAAGGCAAGGGTACAATCCCATTAATGCATGCACGCATGCACAGACACACAAGCAGACACATCTGTTGTTTCATAAATCAATAATAATACTCAGAAAAGATAGAACTATTTTTGATGGATTAGACCAGCACTGAAAAACAGTTTTGACAACCCATGTTTTTGTGTCAGGAGCCTCCTTCAGATTCCTCAGATGAAACATTC